CTTCAGCACGTTTTTTCCATTGTTCCATGGAGCAGATACAATCTCACACACATTTGTTTCAACACATTGGCTTTGGCAAGTGTGGGCCCACGTTTCAGTGCTCAAAGACACAAAACATGTGTTTTGTTCATTGTTGGTTCGGCTTTTGATTCCAAAGATAAATGCTTGCTGTTTTCTCGTCTACCAGTCACAATTTTGACATCCCATCACCTTTGCTGGAATTCTGAAGTGCGAGTACCCTGCTGAACTTGTTTGCTTTTGTTCGCAGATGCGCTTGACACCTTGCAGTGACCATTGTCTCGTGCGTTCTTTCCGGTTTGTGGAAGAATGAAGCCATTTTATGAGAAGCACCTAAGTTTTGACATGTCGTGACGCATCAGTTTTCTTCGCAGACTTGAGTTTTTTCCATCTGACTCGAAACTCAAGAGAATCTAGAGATGCTCTTTATGCTTGTGGCGCCTTTGCACAGCATTGTCTCTGGTAGAAGCATGAATAGATCAGCAGATCGTTCTGATAGTTCTGATCAGCAGATCGTGCTGACAGAAGCTTCCCTCTCGTTCAATTCACGTGACGCAAAAGAGGGACGTTGAAGGAATCCTTGCTATTGGCCGCGCCAACAACATCCACTTCAGCCAAGCTGCTGTCCTGCGAAGGACCAAATGACAAAACATTATATAGTTTTGTTCATTGTTGGTTCGGCCTTTTTTTGATTCCAGAGAGAAACGCTGGCTGTTTTCTAGTCGCTTTTTTGACATCCCATCACCTTTGCTGGAATTCGGAAGTGCGAGTGCCCTGCTGAACTTGTTTGCTTTTGTGAGCATTCCCAGATGCACTTGACACCTTGCAGAAACTATGGTCAATGTTCGGATTTTCACGTGTTGTTTAACAAGCGCCGTGCGTTCTTTCCGGTTTGTGGAAGAATAAGGCAATTTTATGAGATGCGATTCGTGGCTGGTTCAATTTCGTGATTCTGAGGCATCAGTGTCCATCGCGGACTTCAGTTTGTTCCATCTGACTCCAAACTCAAGACAATCAAGAGATGTTATTCGTGCTCGTGGCGCCTTTGTCGCATAAGGAGATCAGCAGGTCGTTCTGATAGTTCTGAGGTTTTTGTGAATAGCGCAGACTGGTTGCACAGATACCCTCCCCTGGTGTTTTCTGTCTGGACTGCAAAATCAG